AGGACAATTTCTGTGGAGAGCTATTTTATAAGTTCAGACATTTTAGCAACATAGCTAAGAGGAATGTTGTGTCCCATTTTGATCAAGTTGCATTGAGATTGGTTTTGTATTGAGCTTAAAAAATGTGTAATAATATTTTTTTTTTTCCGAAGAGAGTGTACGATTTTTCTTTGGATGAACTCAGGTGGAGCCAAATTGAAGAGAGTAACATTTTATTGAAAATAATAAAAAATTAATACATTGCTAGCCCAAAAAAAAAAAAAAAATTGAATAAAGTTATACATTTATTTATTTGTCAATTTAATATTATACAAATAGGGGGGTGTTAGTGCCAGCTCACTACTGCTGTTGTGAGATTGCAATCGGTCGGCTCAATAAGCCGAAATGTGCAAAAGTGGGACTTTTGTTCTAATGTTGTACACAGAGCAGGCAATATAAGTATTTACTTGAAGTAGATATCTAGTCTTAAAAGAGTCCTGAATGATGGCAATACTTTTCTTTGCATCTCTGATACCATCAAACAAACAAAATACTTATTTTGAAAGCAAAACAGTTTCCCAAGAACCCTACCAGGCCCAATGCAGATATATAGAGGTAGTTGACACCTGTATATCATCAAAACCTTCTTTTTGAACTTTGGTTTTTGATCTCTTTTTCTTGTTTGTTGTGGTAGACTTAAATGCCATGTACAAAACATGAATGATGTAGGAGTACTAGACTCTAGTGCCTAGTGTGGTCCTGTTGCTGTGCCAGCCTTCTGTTGTACTACATACTGTGCATGAATTAAGAAGATAAGTGTTTTTTTTTTACCTTTTTTTATTGTTTTTAATTTTTTTCTCTGCTTCTCTTGGTATATATGCTAACAGTATATTTACTGTGCTGCACACAGCTAACTATGCTTCAGCCACCAGCAGTAATAGCCTAATGGAAATAGAGCAACTCAACTATACCCAACAGTTATTGTCATACTATATCTTGGCTTCACATGTCAAGATCCTCTACCATACACTATGGGTGTATTGTACTGTATCGGACGACTTTATTTATATGTGTAATTAAATGTATATATAAAAATCTTTCAATGCATTGCATCACCCGCGGTATAGTGCAAGAGTAACTAAGCTACACCCAACATTTATCGTCATATGGCTTCACATGAATCTGATTTGCCGATTTAGACTAATGAGCCCGGATCTTTTGCCATGGTACTGTACTGCATCGCAATACACACGTGTAATTATACAAACGTATGGAAACCGTCCAATGTAGTACGGCACTCGTAATATGCTACACCAGATTCCAACACAGAAGCCAGTACCTAATAAATAAAATTATAAGAAAAAGAACCAAAACTACCTACCCTCTAGCCACATTACAATAGTAAAAAATAGAAAGGTATACATATTTTTGTCTTATTACTATATGTGCTTATTTTCTCTTCGTTTTTGCATTACCAAAAAAATAGAAAGATACACACAATTTTGTCTTATCGCTCAAGTATCTACTTTGTACTTATTTCCTATTCTTTTTCTTAAGGCACTAGTGTTTGAGATAAGGAATGTCAATTTGTCCCACCTCATTGGAGTCCCGTCCCGTCTCCCGTCCCTAATGGCACAGGTATGACAAGCGTATAAATTTATTCATAATTAAAAGAGGCAAGTACGAATTTAAGTAAACCTGCTCCATGAACGGTAGGCCGTTGCCATCCCTATTTGAGATCAAGGAGTTATTCCCAATATCATGCCTTACACATGTAGTCATTAACAATAATTCAAATTAAAATCACAAATAATGCATTTCTTAAAAACTTTTAGCAGACAAGATCCAAGCCTATAAGTACTTACCCTAATTTCAACCCATCCTCTTTAAGTAAGACAAAGTAATGGGCTATTATTTTCTAAAGACACTTACCCACACCCACACCAAAAGGAAGTGCAAGTCACCTCACTGGAAAGATTATGTTGCTAGAATAGTGAAAAAAAGTGTGCAAGCGACATTATTATTGCAAGTTTTTGTCGATTTTAGATGGCCAATAACACTACAAATTTGCTTTCTGAATCAACATTTTCTGAAGTATATATGCTTTTCAAATAATAGATTGTGACATAAAGAAACTAAATCAAATATTGGGAATGCTAAGGAGGTTCATTTCTGATTCCAATTCCACAAAACCTATAGCCTACAGTTTCCTGGAAAAACAATAGCAGCAACTGGGATAAAAAATAAAAACACCAGAAGTCTCAATTTAAGCTCCTCCATAAGCTACTTTGATTATAATAACACGAGTAGTGATACAATTGCTGAAGCAACTAATTGAATCACTCGATTCCCACTTCAATGCATTATAGGGCTTCGAGTCATTTGCCCCGAGATTTAATTAGTTGATTCAGCAACAAAATCATTTTCCTAGTAACTGGAATCCCAATAACCGCTTTGGAAATGGAGTGGCTCACTGTAGAAGAAACTTGCACTGAGCATTGAAGCTGAGGAGTTAGGCTCAATTTTGCACTGTTAATTATGAAGGGGGACAATCTCAAGTGAAGCTAGTAAAGGAAAATTGAGGTGTCTAGAATTTGATAAAAAAAAAAATTTACTCTGTGATTACATTAAAATTTCAAGATTTGTGACTTCTAGAAGATGCTAGTATGTGAAGCTTTTAAAGTTCTGGTCTAACGATGATTTCTGTACTCTTGACCAATTTTGCATATGTTGGATTAACCTTTCATGATCTCATCAATTTTGTGTCATGTTCTATTCCTGATTACCAAACACAATGGTTGTTGATGATACATTTACAATGGTCTTGGCAGGAACTACTACTGTTTCATCGATACAGGTTGGTGAACTCGTAGTACCATAAGAATTGACTCCAACTATAACCCTCTCAAAATTTAACAAAGACAAAGTCAGCAAAATACGGTGTGCAATGAACATATTATCTACCTACTTTTAAAATCGTATGTCAAGTCAGCATATTTTAGTAAAGTAGATAGATAATATGCATTTTAGATTATGTTATACAGTGTGGAACTTATTTTTTCATTGTTTACTTAATTATTATATAATTACTTTAGAAGTGATGTCAGAGAAAAAGACAAAAACAAGGACAATTCATAATTAAATAATTGTGTCAAAGCGGATGGATATACTCTATAACATTCTCCAAATGTAGAGAATGCAATAGAGAACTGCTCCACTTTTCACCCACACCGACTCTCCTTCTCTCTACATTATACAAATATTCTTTACTTTTGACTGCACCCAGATGCTAAAGGGGCTAGGCATGGATTCTCTGAACCATGACGATTTATAGAACTTAGGTCTGATATTTTCTAATGGTATTGATTGAATTCAAATATGTCATCTGTATGCTTTGATGCAAAATATATGTATGTGTGTGTGTGTGTATATATATATATCAAAGATCATAAATGAAGACATAAGGAAGAGTGATGAAAAAAATTGAACCAACCAGAAAACATTCAACAAATTGATGGAAGACTATAAAAAGAAGTGACAGCAGCATGTTTTGTTGATTGTTCTACTAAATATAACACTAGACTCTGTTTCAGACCTTAAAAGAAGAAAAAGATCCATGTATTATGTAGCTTAGAAAATAAAACACCACTACTCAATGTTCCTACCGACTCCGGCAAGGGGAAAAGAAAAAACAGACCATACCTTACGACATTATTTTACATAAAATGATTGCTCTCGTGCTTGAACCCGCATCTCATGCTTGTCAACCAGAACTTTCACCATTGCACCAAACAACGATTCCCTGAAGTCCAATATAAATCAGAAAGTTAATATTGAAGATAAAAGTGTTGAAATGCACATATCAACATTTAGGTGTTATTTAGGTGTTCTGTCGAGTCTCGTGTTCACCATATTTCTTATAAGAAAAAGATGGTCGGTCCAAAACAAATTTTCAACTTAAAAAATTCAGATGAAGCTCTTCCAAACTTAGCTTATTGAAAATGATCTTGCTAGCAACCAACTTTAAGAAATTGACCTTTCGACTCGTACGATATGAAAGCAGATAAAATCATGAACTCAATTCTTAAGTTGAATTTCATCAGATGCATATCTTTAACGCACTCATGGTGAAAAGTGTGCGTTAACAATATGTGGGGCATATTCTGCCATGGACTCGTGGCATTCCATGTGAAAATAGTTTTTTCACACATTCTGTCGAACAACTAATCAGCTTTCAATAAAGAGAAAAATACCATACAAAAAGCACAAACTTAGTGCTCATAAACACTTAAATCATGTGAAAATAATCTTTATGTTATGGGCTGAATAGCACAAAACTCAGGAAATCTAACCAAAACTGAGGATTACTAAGGGTGCAAGAAGTACTATAAGAACACGCGCGCGCGCGCGCACATTGAATTGTCATATTATGGGCAAATTCATAAATAATCAAGAGAGTTATTAGTTTGCTCCCTCTCATTCTTTTATTTTATTTTATTTCCTTTGCAACAAACGCAAAACTCACACTTATTTGTATTGCAATAAACTTACTTTCAAAATACAATACCCTTACATTAGTATTGTTATGATGTGTTTATCCTCGATGTAAATTCACAGGTATAAAATTTGTATTGCAATAAACTTACTTTCAAAATACAATACCCTTACATTAGTATTGTTATGATGTGTTTATCCTCGATGTAAATTCACAGGTATAAAATTTGTATTGCAATAAACTTACTTTCAAAATACAATACCCTTACATTAGTATTGTTATGATGTGTTTATCCCCGATGTAAATTCACAGGTACAAAATTTCATACACGAGAGGATCCGAGTTCAATTAAAATAACCAAGACTTTTAACTTTAAATTATAATATCCGTATTCAATTATGAAATTTTAACAGAGGACATGGAATGAATGTACTGTGAACAAGCTAGAGTTGAGGACATGAGTTGAAGCAAAAATCATACATATAAAGGAAAAGAATCGTAACATCAAGGAGCTACAACATTCAAGAACCATGAAATATTGGAATCCATTATATTGAAAATTGGGAAGGTAAAAAGCATTTCAGTAACACTACATATAACTGCGGAACCTGCTTAAATAGCATCCACAGTAACTATTGAACAATATATATATATATATATATATATATATAGTGTTTCATGATCTTTAAATGCCTCAATCTAAACAGAAAACTACACTTTCCCAAGGGTTGCTCACGTAAACAAACCGTCATCATCATAGACGAACACCAATTGCATTTTCCATGGAGTAAATTTATATATATATATATATAGAGAGAGAGAGAGAGAGAGAGAGAGAGAGAGAGAGAGGAGGTAATAATGTACATTCTACAACAAAAATGAGTAGAAGCCCAATTGCCTTCATGCAAAAAGAATTTTTAAGCTGAAAGGGAACACACTCTACCACCTGCTCCTCTTACAAACTCGCCGGATCAATTTCCCCCAACGTTTTACTACTGGTAAACACTTTCTTCTACACAGCTACATAACACACAGTCATTTACCCTTCTATATACAACAAAATCCAGTAACCTTTCAGTGCAAAAACAAATTCCCTCTCCGCCAGCCAACCCAAATCCAACCACCATAACATATTGCCTGTATCATAATCCTGACAAGAGGGCCGACCCTTATATCTGGGGATACATCATGCCCCGTAGGTTTTTGACATGTATCAGATGCTTACAAGAGGTTTCTTCTTCTCATGCTTTCTATTTCCTGTCCCATAACCAGGCCAGCCCCGTTGTCTTACTTTTCCCGCCACATGTATAATGAAACACAATCATTCTGTCCCTGAAGATGCTGTGGACACCGAAACCTGTACAAGGTTTCAATAAAGAATCAATAGCTGGCCCAGCTAGACAAAGAACGTATCAAACACCCGCTGTTAATTTTACACTATCACCCCCGATTAAATGAAGCTCTTATGTTCTCATCTGGAAGCGTCCATGAAAGCAAATGCCCAGCAGAGTCTCCACTCAACAACTGCTTCAGGTCATTTGTAATGTGAAGGGCAGTAACCGGATGCTTATGAAACTTCAGCGCCTTGTGAAGAACCAATCTATATTCAGGTACCTTACCACCCAGCCCCAACCCTCCTGTCAAATTGCTACTCGGCTTGGTTTGAGCACTCCCCTCATCAGAGCAGTGAACCATTTCCCATACCTTAACAGCTCCACTCTGGTGACCCGTTACATACCAGTTTGTGTCCAGCCAATCAGAAAAGGTACAACTTGTCACTGAGAGAATGAAATCAGATGGAAGTTGGGATGTGTTGACCACTGAAAGGCAATCCCCATTGATACTCCAAACAGCAAACATAACTCCAGCAGCAGTTAAAATTTCACCAGTCAAATCATTCACGTATATTGCTGATATTGGAGATGGGAACTCAGGAAGGTGCCTAACAAAAACCAAAGAGCTGAGATCCCATATAATTACAGTGCAGTCATCTGATCCACTAACAATCATCATGTAAGGCTGACTGACATGAAGACATGTGATTTTGCCCGTGTGGGCACAAAGCCCTTTTTCCAACTGCAGGCGCCGTACAGAACGGGGTCCATCCTTGCTTATCCTCCAAACAGATACCAACCCATCATCAGCCCCAGTAACTATCACATGACCATCATGGCTAACACTGGCACACTGAATCTGGTTGCCTCCATGAAGATTCTCGTGAGTAGAGAGGAGTCTGTCTTGATCATAGCTCATAAATCTCAAGCTACGATCTGGGAAGCCCCATGCTACATATTTGGTATATGTTCTGGGTTTAAGCAAGTTACTTGTTCCCGCCAAAAGAATCTTCTCATTGGAAGTAACGATTTGAGTGATGGAAGATGAGCTTTTACGAATCTCATGCGGAACAAGATGGGTAGAGTGCTTGAGCGGATGAGGAAAAATCTTTCTATCAGGCCGCCTTTTCACATGGGATTTGAGGAATAGTTGCTTTGGTGTTTGCCCAAAGTGATTAATTTGTGCTAGTATGGAGGCCTTCATTGCAGGATCTGTAACGGAGTCAATGTCAACACTTCCCTCATATGTATAATGATAGAAAACATTCACGGCTTCCTCAGCTGCCTGTAAATAACAAAAGAATGGGTAAGAAACAAGAAAAAACCATAAAGGGAGTAAAAATGAAGATAATGGCAAGGGACCCCAACCCAGGAGGGGTTGCAAATGGGCTGGCCAGAGCATTCAGTTTATCCAACCATCAAACAAGAAACATTCTTGTGAAGGATGAGATATTATAAATAGTACAAAGAACATTGAGAGGGAGAGAGTTTAAAGAAGGAGAATCCTATCTTTTGGTTGGTGCTAGAAAGCACAAATGTTTTCAACTATTTCAGGTGGCACATCAAGCCTCAGGATTTAAATAGGTAACTAGTTGGCAGCCTAAGTGAGAATCATATGTAGCTTCATTTGCCAATCTCCTACAACTGTTTTGAACATCAATGCTCTGTTGCCTACAAGACAGGAAAAGAGACAAAAACTTGGCTGAAAAACAGGTTCAGATTGGAACACAGCTGTTTGACTTCCAAGTTTTGATCTCCTTTCCCTAATCCATGGTAATCCAGTGAGCAAAGAAAAACATCATCAAGAATGATTCTTAAATTTAGGCAGACAATCATCAGAACCAAAAAAATTTATCAAAATGGATAAGATTTGATGAATGAATGAGTTGCAGAACCAACATTCAGAATGCACATTAGCCGTACCAAGCTAACTTGGTCTGCTACATCATTCTGTAAAGAATGTCAAAACACCCACCTTCCCTCTCTGTTTATATCCAAAAATGAGGTCTATCCAATGATGCAGATTTTCTGACACATAGTCGGATTCCAGTGCTTCCCTATGCTTCCTGATGAACTCTCGAGCACTGCCCTTGGCCCATGGAGGCAACACAACATCGCCTACCTGGAAAAACACCACATGCTATTGAGATTCTAGAGAGTATATATATGTGTGTGTGTGTGTACAGCTGGTGAAAATAAATTATTATTATTAATTTGGTAGAGAACAATTATTTCAAACACCACATCATCAAATAATTAGAGTAATTAGAAAGGAAAGTGAAAAGGAAAAATAAAATTTGAGCTTAAACAAACCTTCTCTCCAGATTGTTTTTCTCCCAAGTCTAGGTTGAATCGGTTTTCCAGGAACTCTGGCATATAGAAAAATTCTGGAATTAGTTCCTTTACATCTGATGTGTTGCCCTTCCCAGCAGCGCTTGACCATGTATATCGTACACTATTGAAAAGTCGATCAGCATGGTCAAACTGACCACCTTGCAGCTTCTGATTCTCAGTACTAAATGGTGGCAGACGTAGAAGATAAAAGAGGACAATTCCAGCACTAGAATAATGAGAACCATAATGAAATTTAGGGATCTCTGGATCATCCCAGCTCTCATATCTGAAATAAAAGAAGGATCATAAAATCCCATAAATTTAAGTGAAACAAAAATATTTTTCATTGACTTTCTGAAAAATACACACACACACACATATATTCACGAAGGAGCAGGTTAAAGAACTCTAAAAGAGAATCAAACTCCATCAAAAGAAGTCATGAGGTTATGGAAAATGAGGGCCAACCTTTTCTTGAATTCCTCTTCCCCCTCTGGTGTTTGACAACCCATTGGCTTGTCAAGCCTACGGAACGTTTTGGGATCTGAAAAATCAAGATATTCACTCTCATAATCTGCAAGAACCCATGGAAACACTGGATACTGGGTGAGATCACTGTATCCTCGTCCTGCGAGGGTATTGAGGTGCATGAGGTACTGGAAATTGCTAATTTCTCCGTTTTGCCACCTCTTGGAGAAAGATTTAGCCATACTCTTAAAAAGACGACCGCTTTCGTTGCTCTCTTGTTTTGTTGATCCTGAAATAGTTGTGTCCAACCTGTTGAATGGACGATTGTTATTTAGCTGACAATATTTTTCTCAAATCTAAAAGGCGTGGAAGAAGCAGTTCAACTAGATAAACACCAAAGCTGAATGGACTAGCCACTTGTAAAGGAATCACCAAGTACAATGTAGTGATGGAGTGAGTCCAGTAAGTAAAAAATCCACAATCAGTTACTGCTCAGCAATAACCAATTAAACAGATTCTCTTCTAGAATAGTAAACTGAAACTGAAAGACATATCTAAAATGGTATATTTAAGATCAATATATCTCATTCAACCATGTGTTATTTCAGTCATACCAAATTTGTTTGGAAGCATACAGCAATAGAAAGAGGAAGAGTGCATCAGGATGAAGCATAATACCATGCCATTTTCAATTACTGACATCAAGTTCCAATTGACGATAAGATTGTCCAACATAAAAAGTGATATCATGGATGGAGATGCATAAAGCGCAAGATAACAAGTTTCTACATACTACGAATTTCAGTATACTCAAAAGCATGATAAAATACACCCCCCCCCCCAAAAAAAAAAATTGAGCATCTCAAATCTTTGCAATATGGACATGGATACTTGACATTGACACCAAAAAAAATGACAATCTCAAATCTTTGCAATATGAACATGGATACAACAACAGCAACACTAAATATCCCAAATAAATAAAATGAAGACAACAAGGGTACCATAACACAAATACACTATCAGTCTATCACTTCTACATCCTAAAATTATCTCACTATTTTTTACTGTAATAATTTTGAAGGAAAAAGTGTGCAGCAACTACCAAGTATAGAAATGTCCACTAAGGTAGAGCCATGTCAACCATGAGTCAGATACAAGAGTGAAATTTCATTTCAACATAGCAACCACATCAGGAGTATCTATGGCACATCTCTAATCTTCTGAAATCCATGTTTTTAGTGTTACAAGGACAAACTCCTCTCAGTGTCCATGCCACTGATGTTCAATTAGAAGATTTGCAATCACAAGGTAATAACTTTCATCCAGTTTATACTACCATTGCAAGCTAAATATGAAAGTCAAACATGTGTAGGATAAGATCCAAAAGGAACCACACCACTATTGTTTAGAATCGTATTGGCACCTTTCAGTCTTAAGTTGCATTACAACTTGCTTAACAGAAGCTTGTTTCATGTTCAGGGACTGAGATTACTTCCGTATGTATAAAAGCTTGATACAGCACAAATCTATACAAATCGATACCATAGGGCACTGCAAGTCTGCCGTCATACAGACGATACAGTCAAGGCAAGTGAACACAAAGATATACAGCTCTGAGCTCTCTCTTGCTTCACAAGGGTTAGAAAATCTGTTATTCACTTGGACCAAAAAATAAAGAGATTGAAAGATATATTTGAACAAAAAATCATGTATTGGAGAGGTCCTATTTTTGTTCAAGGTAATAAACACTTTTCATAAAGGGGTTTTCTATTATGAAGTTGAAAGAAGGTTAGAGTATAAATTCATAGCTGCATCACCCAAATCAAACATTGCATAGAAGATACACGTCATAATTATCAAAGGACTATGATACATGGGCCAGTTCCATAATATGTTACCATAATGCATGGGACTACATGTCTTTAAGTATGCTATATTGAACAAATAACTGTCACAAATAAACTATCCTATCAATACCTCAAGGATCCTATGTTTCAGCATTACACAATTGTATCAGATTTGAAATGGCACAGCCATTTATATTTTGTCAATCATACACGTGAACCAAACAATCTCTAAAATATGATTAGTATCACTATATTGTACAAAGGGACCAAATTCCAAAAAAAATCGGCAGAAATTTTATCAGTGAATATGCAAAAAGGACTACTGTGAAAGTAAAGCCAAAATGGAAAAGGCAAATATAAGAGCTCACAGGAAGTATATAACATACATGCTATTTCTTGGAAGATTCATGGCTACCAGATTTTTGAAAACTTCTTCTCTCTCTTTTTTGTGGAAAACCAGGAGGTCATTGCATCCATCCATGCTGAATATCTCAATAGCAACAGGACGCAGCTGGTAATCACGCTTCAGAAGCTCATGAACACTGTTAAGCTTCCACATATTCCAAGGATGAGGTAGATTACCACTAGAACCAACATTTTCCTTTCCCCAAGCACCACCATTATAAGCCCACGCCCTTCCCCCCACTCCTGCCTTAACCGTCACACCCAATGATGAAGTTGACTTCGAATTAAAGTCCATACTGCAAGAAAAATCTTTCTTTACACCTAAAGCTTGATCAATAACAGAGAGTTCATCTTCGCATTCCTTCTCATATATGCACCCAGAATTGTCAACGTAAAAATTCTCAATAACATACAAAGAAAATTCCCCGATGAGAAATATACCATCATGTTTGTCAAGGCCCATAACTCTTTCACAGTTGTATCTGAATTTAATCTTTTCAAGAGGCTCCAGATAAGGTCTAATTAGGTATTCACCATTATCATTCAGTTCCTTCTCTAATTTGTCTTCCGCCACTTTCATCTCATCAATTTTCACAGAAGAAGACTGCCTTGGAGATCCCAGATCAGACATTCCTTGTATGCTCTCTGTTTTGGGGTCAGATACTGCACTGGACTTGGCACCAAATTCAGGAGCAGAGTGAAGACTTGCTTCATTTATACTGCTAGCCCGGTCATCATTCCACCCAGCCTTACTAGATGCTACATCTCTGACATCATCTGATTCTTTGAAAATTGATTCATCATAAAGCTCACCATCAGAAGAAGTTAGCTTTGCATTATCAGTTAAAACATGGAAAAATGGATCAGAATCAACATCAGAAGCATTATGATCATTCTCATTTTTTTCTTTGGAGAGCTCTACTTCCCCTAATTCAAATTGTCCATTTAGAACATTTTGGATAGTGTCAATCTTTAGTTTGCATCGCTCGAGCTTCTTGCGCATTCTATATGGACCTTCAATAGGGCAAAGCTGCCATTCAGGATCTTCACTTATGGAAGACTTACACATTGGGAATATTCCGCGCTCATGTACAAGTTGCTGGAGCTGTGTTTGCCACTCACTTTCAGCATGGAGTACCCATCCATATTTATCTTGACGAACAACTCGCAATTCAGTAGACATTGCATCACGAACCACTTCAAGTGCATATCTCCGTTCATTTAACTGCTCCCAGTGCTTTATGTCTAATTTTGTGGTTTCCTTTGATCTTCTCCCCATTTCTCTCTTGCGACGACTATCCATGCCTTTTATTCTCACTCCGGGAAACTTTGCTGATCCAGCAATATACTGCACCCACATAATTGCAGCACACTGCTCCAATACCTTATTGACAACATGTTCTGAACTCTGAAGCCACTCAAAGAAAGCAGATAAACTTTCAGTTAACAGCTTATCAAAACCACCATGCAAAACATCCAAATGCAGTCCTTGGTTTGGTTTGGAGACAAGCAAGTCTTCTAGCGCAGCCCTGCGATGCACCAAAAGATACTTGAGGACGTCAACTGCCATGTTCTGTGCATTTTGTCTTTGGTCACGGAGAATAGAGATCAAATTTATACAAAGACAGCAAGTCAGATCGGTATCAGTATTGCTGGGACAAAATATTATTCGCCTGTGAGCAACTAATAACTGTAAAACCGTGCATATATCAACCGCTGTATTTTCTTGTAAGGAGTTCAGCAACGATCTCCTCTTCGTTTCAACTTGGAGACCTAAGCATGAAAGAAGATCTTCTTCTCCTATGGTGATCAAGAATGATGGAAGGAAACAATACAATATCATTCGATTCATATTTTTTAGAAGTGCATGTATATAAGCATCAAGTTGCCTGCTTCCTCTTGTGATATAGAGAAGTCCTTTTCCAATGGGAGCTGCTTCTTCAATCCGACCACCTTTATTTGCCAATTGTAACATAGACAACAAGAATTCCAGAGTTTTCAGGACACAAGCTGGCTGAGGAAAAGCACCCATGTACATACGATCCACTATCATCCAGCATAATGCATCTAAGTTTGAAGACCAGCGGCTCTTATCTAGCTTTTTATCATTTTCCTCATCATCACGCAAGAGACGCCTTTCAAGGAAGTTCATCAGTCTACTAAGGCACAGACCCTGAAAAACTAACACAGATTCAGCATCAATGTATAAAGGAACACTTTCCAAAATACTCTCTATAACCTGTGCTGCTTTCATCTGCTCAGTCACAAAATCAGAAAGAACCTCTGCCATAAAATCTAAAACAGCAGTAGCTCCTGCAGAACAAGGACCACCACCATAGCCATAATCATCCATTTCAAGCAAAAGCTTTGGGTTAACCAAAACAAATGTGTTTGCAGCATATGATCCTTGAGAACTGGACTTCAAGTCTGAAGAGGGATCAGATTCACTCATAGACACGGAAGATTCCATGGAAGGAGTGGCTAATTGAGCTTTTGATTCGTGTTGACTGGCACTGCCCAACCAAGACGTCAATGCAATAACTGGGGATGAAGTGGGTGTTAGTTGGGTCTTAGATATAGATTTCTCTGATAAAATGGGAGAATCAATCATAGTTAAAGATGTAGCACTTTGTGAATCTGCCTGGTGAACTTTTTTTTGATCAAACTCTGCCTGCTCAACTGGATCTGGTGTGACTTTGATATCACGGAAACTGAAGTCGTTAGCACTAGAAGTAGCAGTGGACACCTGGTCAACAGTATCACCATCTAAGCTTAGAGTAGCCTGTACATCTTGCAGTGGTTCATTCAGTTCCTGCTGGGACAAAGTAACAGTCATTTCTACTTTATCACCAACCATATTAGTCTGGGGCATAGGCATATCTTCAGAACTTGTACTAACGGGATCTTGACCGAAGCTTCCAACACTGATGGAGGTTTTGACAGACTGTTCCTGTTCATGAGGCATGCTAGAGAATGTATTCTGGGAGCTATTGGTATCATCACACTCATTTAAGTTCTTGTCTTCTGTCTTCACAGAAAGTTCTTTAGCCATCTTCACCGCATGAGCAGCCCTGAATGACATAAAGCAACAGAGTCCAGTAAAGTTTGAGGAGTAATATGGAAATTTGTAAAGTACTATTTAGAACCCAGGTAAAATTACCCAAACCCATTCATAGTTCAGAAAACAAAACGAGAGAAATTCAATAGGCAAACAAACCAGAAGGCTTTTTAAAACAAACCTAACACATGAAAAATAAAGGTCGATACAGCTTTCAAGGAATTCTGCTCGTCTGCAAACAGCAGAGAAAGGGGGACACATTTTTGCAAGATCAACCATGAATCTCATGACTGAAGTTGCAGCAGCGGGAGCTGACGCCTCTCCACCCATTAGGCGTGCTGCATAGGTTTTGTGCATCAAAGCTTCACCCTGAAGATCTCCAGCCATGTCTGTATTTCCATCCACAAGCTCTGCCACAAGACCAGCACTAACCTGTGAAAGATTTCCGGTTTGGTGGGCAAGCATTGACTGCATGCACAACCTATCAAACGTAGATTTCGCCATAGCAATCACAGATTCCAACAGTTCTACAAATTTCAACTCTCCATAATTTCCATCGTTCGGCATAAGGGCATGAAAGTCTAGCATTCGAACTTCTGGTAATCTTGGATACACAGGCTTTCCAAATATCAGACAGAAAAGAATATAATATATATCAGGGGAATCATAGAAACTTGGAAGCACCCGTGCCAAACCTTGATAACCGCCACCGGTGCGAAATCTAAGCGCAAATGTAGGAGAAGACGCAAGACACACACCAAGAAGAGTCATGACCCATCTCATACTTGTAGGATGAACAGCTTCATCGAGAAAATAAGTTATCAATTTGGATGAGACAATCTTATGCCACTGCTCAAGCAACTCTTCTGATTTTATGGTCACTTGTAAATCAATTAGCATCTCAAGCAACATATTTCTTACAATTACATGCTTCCCCATCGATTCTCGCATAATTTGATGACGTGATGTCAGTTGAGGCGGGTCAAATGTCATAATCACAAACCTGACCACATGTTCCAGTTCAGAAGACAGAAAGCCATCTTCTAAAATGACTCCTAGCAGTACAACCAATTTATCCAAGACGGGAACTTCAACATCACCCCTCTGCAGAGTCACTAGTAAATGCTGAACAAGGTTAATTCTGCGAAGAATTGTAAGGTTATGATTCCTGTACCAGTGAATAGAGACTAGATGCTCAAGAAACCCCAGTAATGCAATTTGAATTGAAACAGGGGCCTTTACCCATAAGGTCCAGTCCAACAAAACATGCTCAACCATATCAGCATTTGACAGGACAATGCAATTTGATGTTTCAGCCGGTATGTCAGAATTTTCAAGCTCTGAAATATGACTAAATGAATCTTTTAATGCAGAAAAATCATCCATATCTCCATGAGATCCAACTGAAGAAAGTTCATCGCGAAACTTTGACAAACTAAGATCCTCAAAGCTGGCTTCATGAATAGTAGCAGCAGCTGACAGAATACTCGGAGTTTTTCCCAACTTCTTTGGTTCAGCAAAAGAAGCCTCACAAGCAGCAATCTGGAAAAAGATTTCAAGAGACTGCATGTCAAACAATGACATTCTCCGATGCAAAAAGAGAGACAGCAAATGGTATCCTCTGAATGCTTGCATATCTCGCACATTCTGTGGATTCTGATGAAGTGCACATGCAAGTAATGTTAGGGCCATGTAAAGCATATCCCTGGTTTCAGCAGCCTCAACAAGAGCCAGGACAACAGCCATCCCACCAACTGGGCGGATGCTATCGCCAATCACACAATGACTACAAATATAGATATCCCCTTGAAGCCGTCCAAAGCGTGGTATACCTGTGGAACCCAAAAAATAAATAAATAAATAAATCTAATAAAAACCCGATTCCATTGTTGTGTACACAAATTTTAGGAATGAAATTTAGAAGGGGGGAGAAAAAAAAAAAAAAAAAGTCCTACAAAAATCTGACTCGTCAGATTCATACTTAAAGTCAAAAGCTCACTAGTCAGACAAAAAATTGACAGATTTACTACACACCCCCAATAGGAGAAGCAGCAGCTGACATTGGATCAACTAGGTTGAGCATAGTTGAAGTTCCAGATGCTCGAAAAGCTTCTGTACATGTCCCATCAAATGCAAATATGAGCTTCCTTCCCGAGAGCTGTAGCGAGAGGTTCCCTAGTCTTTCCAAATCCCAAACAATTCCACTGCCATCTGCCTTGGAGCTCCCTAGCTTGCCAGCACTCTCAGGCCTTTGCGTATTAGAAGAAGGCAAGTCGGTGTCTAATGAATCTAAGATTGCCATAGTACCTCCTCCACAAGCCTGGTTAGGAACAAATCGCAAAAGATCTGTATCTTGGAAGAGCCCCCTATATCCTCTACCAAGAATGTACATGAAACAAATAGAACCTGATGTGAGCACCTCTTCAAATAGATAGCAAGATCGAAGTTTCCACGACAAATTACTAACTCTTGCACAAGTAACCGGCGTCCCGATGGTTACCTGCAGAGACTTCCCAGCTGGAGAGGGAGAATATCCTAGTTTCCCTGTGTGTTTAAGCTTTCCATTAAGATACACATACGCAACACTAGCTTGAAATAGTCCAGCCAAAGCATTTGGCTTGCTATGAACAACAGCAAGGTGATGCCACCTGCCTTCCTCCAATTCTAACCCCGAGAATGACAAGGAGCAAGAATTGCTAGTGGCAAGGGTTAGAACACCATCCTCGTGAACATAAAGTTCTGCATAAAAGGCATTCCCATTGTCTGTCGCACCAACAGAAAATATACGGAGAACATGTGCCCCATGTAACTGCCCACTATTACTGCTCCTCTTTCTAGAACTTGAATCCTTGGATGCTTCCGTTTCCTTAGCTTGTGATTTCAAGAAATTCTGGTACTGAAACCAACAAACGAAGGAATAGCCAGCAGCAGGAGGCCATGATCTTTCTCCCAATGACACTTGAATGGAAGCATGCCCAGTCTTGCGCATGTCCATCTCTACATATGGTGCTAGAGAAACATTTTCTGAAGCCATATCTTCCATAAATATTAACCTCTCCATCATATGAACAATAATATGACCAGAATTCATCAGTCTCATTTGCAAAATATATCTGATAAGAAGTCGAAGTTCTGATGCTGACAACCTGTCACCAATAGTGTTAACTTCATTCCCAAACTTAACTAGAGGAAATATTGAGAGTAGTTTGAATAGATGAAGTAATTTCAAGACTGGGATATGGTCCCTACCTATATGCGCCCAGGACTTCCACAATCTTCAAAGCATGGGAAAGTAATGGTGATGAACCCGAAAGGAAGGGGTATATTGTCTCCAGCAGAAGCTCCACGCAACCTATCCACATCCAAGTGCAAAAAAATGAGAAAACTTATCTCTATTAAATAACTAAAAAGAAACTAAAGCAAAAATTAGCAACAATGATATATTTCGCACCAACAGAAGTGAGGTTTTCCTGATTGAAGGAGCAAGCACGTGCAAGCTTTTCGATAAAATTCAGCACTTCTAACTGCACCTTTGGAGTAAAGAGCAACAATGAGCGTATGAGCACTCTAACCGCACCAGCATTATACACCCGTTCCTTATATGGAATCGCAGAACCTGGAGGCATAATTGGAAGAAAACTATCTGATCCAGTTTCGATAATATCAGATAATTCAGCAGTTTCTGATGCCAAGAACGGTGGAAGCACTAATTCAAGAGCAAGTTCCAATAGCAACTGTATGACTTGCCTTTCACACTCGACACAAATCAAGCCAGAATCCGAAAGAAGATCATAAAAACTTTGGGACAATAAAATTGCATGCAACTTTGTCCTATTAAGAGCATTATCACACACTCCAGCTGTCACTACACGCAACAGATACGTAAAAACCTTAATGTAAACAATTGAAGAAGATGGATCTGTCGGCCCTTCCTCACTCTGAAAACTATGGAGTATGGTTAGAAGAAGAGAGAACCCAGTGGCCTCACCAAAAACCTTTTGAGCTGAAGTATTAACTCCCAAAATGCGCCACAAGGCTACAAAAGTGTCACATTTTGCATCATTTTGGAGTCTGTATTGAGATCCCAAAACACTTGTAACCATCCCACTCTTTAGAATTTCAACAAGTGAACCCAATTCTTCTGAATGAGCCTGGAAAAAATAAAAATAATTAACCTTTTTCACACTTAAAACCTCATATAATTAACAAAAGTACAAGTATGTGAATACTTTGCCTGAGTTGAGGGAAATAACTGCAATACGTTAATGATAAAGTATATTTAAGCAATCAAAGATGGTTCCACTTGTTCGAGAAACAAAAATATGCCGTTACTTGGAACTTTACAGTAACAGAAGGAAAACTCTAGAATGGAAAGTTTTGTCAAATTAAATCCCACTAAACCGCATAAAAAGGAAAGAAGAAAGTTAAAAACCTGTACAACATCTTCAATAATCAAGCATGAGAGCACCCGAAGGACCCCTGGACGATGAATATCAGATACCAAAAAGGGGAGAGTAATGGTCACACCATTAGCTGAACGGAATGACGCTTGATTACCTTCTGCTTTCTTTAGTAAGGAAACCATACAATCCCATGCAACTGCAATTGTGCTCTCAACTTCAAAAAGAGGAAACTTCCCAGAACCAGATTCCATTAGCTTTGGCGAAGAAAGAATTGCGTCCTTACTGTCCAAATGTTTCTTGAAGCTGCTTGGACTGGATTTTCTTTCCAACTGATTAGAGTCACCACTAGGTTGATCTGAGCCCGATAGAAACTTGTGCTGCTTCAGATCATCTAACAGAACCTCCAGCACACCAACTTCTCTCAGGACCTTCTTAAATTGTTGATCAAAAGACAAGAGTTTTACAAAGAAAGAAAGAATTGTGTGTTTTAATTCAGATGTTATTGGTTGCTGCAATAAGCAGCAAAGTGAAAGCAATTCTTGGTCAGGTATGCAATTCACAACAGTCACTGCATATTCAAGAATTTTCAAGATTATCTCTTGCAATGATGGAGGGAAGCCAGCCATATTTAGGATTAAGAGTGGCACTGTTCGCAACTGCTGACACAGCTGGTAGTTTTCAAGATGACTTGAAAATATCTTAAACATTCTATTTAGAACTTCTGCCTGCAGTTCACTGCTGTCTGCTTTCAGAAAAATATCCTGCAACATCTGGACAGCTTCAAGATCTTTAACCTTGGTGTCACCTTTCTCCCAAATTTCTTCAGCAAGCCGGTCAGAAGATGATGTTCTACTTCTTCCATGGCCAGTAGGCTTGTTGTGAGAATTCTTGGAACCTCTGATTCCAGCTGATACCGTAGTATCTACTGGACCAGTTTGAGATAGGTTAACAAGAACATCAAGCAATCTAGAGAGTGCCGGCGAGAAATCTTGTGGCGAGGGGTCCCCTCCTTTTCCTCTAAAATCCTGTTTTTCCACATCATTAAATGTATGTGAACCATCCACAGCAGAATGTTCATCAGAATAGGACTTGGAATCGATAACTTGAACACCTTGATTTTTGGATAGAACTAATGCAAACTGAACAAGAAATTGATAACCATGTGCATTATGGATATCCTCCCTAAGCCTGATACCACCAGCCTCTACAAATCAAAATTGTCTCAAAATCACCATTGATTGTAAAAGAAAACAGTTTAATAATCTAAGCTGAAAAACATGAAATGCCAGAATTAAAGCATGAAATCAAAACACAATTTTTCATTATCCAAAACCATGAAAAATATGGTTATTCGGTAAGTAAATGAGAATCAGAAAATTTTATAAAACTCAATCAGGGAGATAGAAAGCCATTTACCAGGTCTGTATGACATTTCTACACATTCAAGTAACAAGTCCACTATGCCCATAGTATAGGCAGCATCACCATAATCAGGATTGAAATCCCTTACAGCCATTAGAAGTACTTTTATCTGCATACAGAAATTATATAATATTAATACGACAATTTATATTAAAACAATATAGAATGTTATTGGCCAAGTCAAAAGATAAGAAAGATCCAGAAGAAGAAAATAATGGGAAGAAGAATGATCTATACATCCGTGTTTTTGAACAACCTAGGAAGCAAGTCAAGGTATCTATGTCGGACACGGACAAGCGTCGAAACGGCCTGACACGTCAGACACGCCAAAAAAGCATGTCTGATTAAAAGGGATTTTTAAAAATGTACTAAGCGTGTACAATTCTTTTAAAACATTCAATAAGAATCTAAGATGGAAGGTCAAAACATAAAAAAATAATAATAAGAAGAAGTTCCTTATTTGAATTTATCAAGCAATTTTATTTACCTGAATTTTTATTACTTGTTTAAAATTGTAAAGGATCAAAAATAGAAGAGACTCGCTCTCTTTTGCAGCCAAGCAACGTACTTATTACAACCGATCTTTGAAGCTTGACTGCTGGCGGATCTTCTTCTTCAACAAATCCTCTTCTCTATCTTTTTCTCTTTTATTTTTGTCTTCTTCTTCCCATCACAAACCCCTTTCTTCCTCTACAGATTCTCTCTTTTATTACCAACAAAATCCCTCTTTCATTTATAGGCTTGAAAGAAAATGAAAAAGTGAGTAAATGATACGGTAAGACCACCAGTATCACCATAGGATCAAAAGGAGAAAACCATGATTTCAAGCCCTACAAGCAATCTCCAATTCAGTTCCATCAGAAATATTTCTAGTTAGCAAGACAGACTATATCACGCATGATGCAACTTCATGTTCTCCATTGAGGATGTCAACCCCTTGAGATGCAACTCTGGCTAACCCTATTAGAACCTGGAAGAGAAACCTCCTTAAAGTTTTCAGAAGTCTTCTCAAATTCAAATGAGTACTTTTAGTTCCACAAGCCAAAAAATTGTGGTGATCAACCTTTGTACCTCAACCACTCAAACTAGATTACAGCAGACCTCAAGTATCTAACATTTACAGCCGCTTCAATTTATTTAAAAAAAAATTACTCCCTCCGTCCCAAAAAAATGTACCTTTTTGGGAATCTAACTTTTTAAGAGGATGACTTTTAGTATTTTTCTATTGTATTGGTAGTGTATGAATTATCAAATCTATCCATAGTGGGTCCACAGGGACGTGATGGTTTACTTTTTATAAGTTCAATACAAGAAGGTTAAATAGGTAATGTTACAAAAAATAGTACTTTGACTTTTCAATCGGGACATTTATTTTGGGAAGGCCAAAAGTCGAAAGGTGGACCTTTTTTTTGGGACGGAGGGAGTACAAAATCGTAATGCCTTGTAAATGCGACTAACAGAAATGGTGAATGTGTATTTCAACAAATCACCACTTCTTCCAAGAATTTAAAAAGAAATTATTCAAGCACTTCCAAATTCCCTCATACCTTAAGGAGTTGCCACCTTTGTATACTACCACTTAATCAAACAACATGTCATGAGATTAAGTCCAAAGCCAAATAGTCCAGCAATACAATAAAGACTGGAATTTCTAGGAATGTGATTATTAGCTAAATTCATAAGTTTTAAAACATAAACTCTATATAACGTGCTACATTATATCTAATCGCCACTTTCGCAGCCCCAGGGGCGATTAAAGTAGAATGATGAAATTCTGACCTTTAGAACTGAAACAAATCGGGTTATTACCCAGTGTCCAATTGAAAAGGTATACCACCGGTACCACAGCATTGCCAACTTAAAAAATGCCACCAAGACTACCACCACCAGGTTGGATGAGACTGGCCGCTATCTAATTTATGTGTTTGCACTCATCTCCACAAGGTTTGACTATCTATAAATTTCTTTTAACAAGAGAGAAGAAACAAGTAAAATTCTTCACCCGTCACCTAATCAGAGAAAATGTTCTTGTAGTAATTAAAAGCACAAGGTATTTAACACATCAAAGTCTTCTATCTAAGTAAAACATACGTGTAACATATTTTACACTTGAAAAATTCAAGCTATAAAACACAGCAATAAGCCATTAGTTCCAAATATCAAATACAAGGCATGATTTAACAATATGATATAAGTGGTTATTGCTTTGATCAATGGTAAAAAGCATGTTCGAACAGCGTGAGAACAAGAGTCAAATGGAATTACAGCCACTTTACACAAAATCATGTCAAAGATTAGGTCTTCCTTTAGTCTTCTCCTCCCAACACTCTACATAGGTGGGACTGACCAACATCGGGTAACGACCTTTTACCAAGCAATATGATATATCTTGAAGAACCATGATAGGATATTAAACACTAGATAAATCATAAATGTCATTCAAACTCAAGCACAAGACAAATGATTTTCAAATAGCCGTAAGACCATGAACTCCAAATACCAAATACAAGATATAATTAAACAATATAATAAATTACACAAGACCATAATAGGATATTGAACAAGCCAACTGATGGGCATCTAAAAGGTATACAAATGATTCAATAATTAAAAATGATGCAGAGCAAGTGGAAGAGGACTTTTTCAAACAGTTGAACATCCTAAGAAGACTAGACTGGGTTTGCATTAATAGGGGCAGCTGATGATTTGATCAGATTGTGTGATTGTTTAAGGGTTATAAGTCATTTATTTAAATTGTAAATCTGTCTGTATTTCTTGTTAAATGCTCGCATTAAGCTCTAGTTAGGATATTTTAGTCATTTTTGTTTCTATTTTACAGGTCATGAGACTTTCAAGAGTCATGTGACCATTTCAGGGTTGTTTTGTCATTTTTAGCGTCTTTTATTCTTCTGGACAGAATAGTAACTCTTAGATTATATTTATATGAAGGGTTAGGATTTTATCTTTTTTAGGGCAAACACCAAATGGTTGGCCTAGTTGGAAAAGACTTGGGCCCTGGTGTCTCAAGAAGCATCAGGTCTCAGGATCAATTCCTGCTAGGTGCAAATAATTCCTTGGAGGGGGGTGTGAGTGTACCAACAAGGAAAAAAAAACTTTATTAGGACTACGCTTGTGCCTTATAAAAGGGTTATTCCAAGTTGTATACAGCAGTTTTTTTATATTATCAATATATTCAACCTGCTACAGCAACTTTCTACATCTCCCTTTCTTTTGAGATTGAGTTGTGGGAGTTTAAGCAATTCTCTAGCTTGATCTAGCTCTCTATTTGCCCTTCCTATAGATTTTATTCTCTCTTTCATAGCTGATTGCATTAGAAAAAGAAGCCACGCTTCTTTGGAGCCTGAAGCCTATCAAAAAACCGTAATAGATCCCGAAGTGATATGACGATGCCTTTTGAAAAGATAACAAGTTAAGCACAACTCAACTTCCACAACATCAGATATTACTGCAACATGCCTAGCTCTTCCATGAGAATCCACCACCAGAAAGCACTCGTTGACACAACTAAAACATTCTCATAAGAAGGTTCAACTTTTTTTATTTCACTTATTTACAGGGACACAATATTTCACCACTAGACCTACGCTCCCTTCATACAGCTAAGGTCCTTGTGATAACTCAATAAGATGTAAAATGATCTCTGAAGCAAAGAGCATAATAATATAAAAAAGAAGTAATATGCGCGTGTTAGTGGATATAGTTATGATTACATGTTCACCAGGAAATGCGGGAAAAGCTATAAGAATACCATAATTTATTCATGCTTACACCTTCATGTTGATGGCTACATTGCAAGAAAACAGGGAAGAATTGAAAAGGTACAGTTCAAGAAACCAGTAACATAGAGTACCCTATTTATTTCAAGCATAATAAATGAGTTGAAATACAAATATAAGAGCATACCAGATGATGTTTTCGTATATACTTGGTTGTGCTTCCGTTGTCATTAACCAAAAGAAGACCAAGTATCTGGAACAAGAGCAAATAAAACAAGAATAAATTTTAATAAAGCTGATATGTAATTTACTATGTGGATTTGACTGATTTTCTATTTTTTTTTCCCTTTTTTTCTTTTTTGCAGCTCCCTTACTAGACATATAGCTGAAAACATACGAGTGTATGATTACCTGCATTGCATGTCTGTGAAGCTGAATGGTGTGCAAGGGAACAAGACCTTCCTTATATTGAGAAAAAACAGTCGAAGACCCGTTGGCAACCATCTGAAACAGTAGCTGAAGTGAATTATCCTCTATCAAACTCTGTGCAGCTGAAGGATGGCTTGCCAACGCTTTCATAATATGCACAATACTTCCCTCTACCTGCACAAATAAAAATTTCTGTAAGCAAATTCTCAATCAATGTCCTCCTTGATTTTTATATTAACTGCTTAATCAATCAACCATACTAAGGCGCTGTGTTGGCAACTGCTTTTGCTTCGTGTTTTTGTTTTGGCCCGAAACAGAAGCAACGTTTCTGTTTTGGAGTGTTTTCAATAGTAAGGGCCCGTTGCGTTGTGTTTTGTAGTGTTTTGTTTTAGTCTATAATAGAATAAGTGTTTTGTAATGTGGTGTTCTGAAATGAGAACAAAACATGTTTGGCAACTTTCATTTGCGGTGAGAATTTTGGAACAAAAACATGGTAGAAAATGTTTGGTAGCATTTTTTACCTTTTGAAAATATCCCTAATTTTAAAGATATGGGTTTTTATTTTTTGAACAATCTGAAATGATATGCCCATATGGGTTTTGATATATAAGCTGAAATAAATGGGTTCTGAACTTTTGATTCTGGTAGATTTTGTAGTTTCCAGTTGCAGAGAGAGAGAGAGGAAAAATACGATTTAGTTTGCAAAACAAGAATTACAGAGCTTGATTAGTTGATTTAGAAAAAAAATTAAAACAAAACCCATACACACAAGTTAGCAGTTGCACAGAGAGGGGGGCAAGCTTGAGAGTTGAGAGACAGCGGCTGAAGCTTGCAAACGGCGAACCAGAACTGGAACAGCGGGCGATGGAAACTGAAAGATATGGGTTTTGATATTTTGAACAATCTGAAATGATATGCCGATATGGGTTTTCAACTTCACAGATCTGAAATATATGGGTTTTGAACTACTGATTCTTGTAGATCTTGTAGTTTGCAGTTGCAGAGAGAGAGAGGGGGCAACTTCAGAATTGAGAACAAGAATAGAGATTGGGGCTAATATTTTGAACTTCTGATTCTTGTAGATTTTGTAGTTTGCAGTTGCAGAGAGAGAGAGAGAGAGGGCAAGTTCAGAGTTGAGAACGAGAATAGAGATGGAGGCGGGTTTTGAACTTCTGATTCTTGTCGATTTTGTAGTTTGCAGTTGCAGAGAGAGAGAGAGAGAGAGAGAGAGAGAGAGAGGGAGGGCCAGTTCAGAGTTGTTTATTCTTGTCGATTTTGTAGTTTGCAGTTACAGAGAGAGAGAGGGAGGGAAAGTTTCAGAAATTAGGGCAAGTTCATAGTTGAGAACGAGAATAGAGAAGGAGGCGATTGGGAGGCTGAAATGATTTGCCCTAAAAAAAAATTGTCCCCCTACAGTGTAAAATATGTTGCCCCTACTACAGTGCAAATTGGGCCGGTCAAGTTGTGGAACAAGCCAGAACACCTTTTTTTTGTTCCAACTTTTGGCCCATATTTTGAAAGTGTTCTGGTACTGTTGAAAACAAAACAAGGCGGCCCAAACATGTTTTGTTCTCAAAATAGGCTACTGTAGCGGCCTGGAACATTACAAAACAAAACAGAACATTTCCCAAAAAGGCCCTAATCGGAAGCATGTTTGGTGATGTTATATTTGTTGCAAGATTTTTGTAAGCAAAAACATGAAAACATGTTTGGTAAGAAAGTGTTGGAAGTTTGAAAAATAAAATGGCTAGTTAAATAGGACATTCAAGATTGTTTTTATATATATATATACTGTTCACAGCAACAGCGCGGAAGCAACCAGAAACACCAATTGGTGCTTCCAATTTTGGCCTCTTTTTCAGAACGTTTCGGTACTATTCAAATCGCAACAAACGTTACCAAACATGTTTCCGTGTTTTGCTTTGCTACAGAACACTATCTGAAGCAACCAAAAAAAAAAAAAAAACGGGGCCTAATCAATTAGCTTCCAAAATCCTTTCCAGCCAAAAGCATGCTTGATTATGATATCTAAGGTAGTGGACATTTGTCCAATTAATATACGTTTCAGAGCATTCATTGCTAGAAGACCAAACCTAACAAGGACAGTCATGAAAAACTAACATAAAAGTACGTTAGAACATTAAGTCATGCGTTGACAAAACTAGAGTTGAATAAAATGGTTTGAGTTTATGTGTCAACAATCAGAGAAGATGAAGAAAAGCGACGAACACACCAACAATCTCTCAAGCTAAATCACGTGCCTAAATAAGAGGCCTCAGTGGACATAGGAATCTAGGTTGGAATGACTTGTCAGTTAGTTAGACTACCTATGACCTTGCTTTAATCCTTTAAAAGGCTCAAAATAGTGTGGTTACATATGTTTTTCAAAGTTATAGCTCTTCAAATAATCAAGAAATTGGTGGATCGATCAAAATTTTGAACACCAAAATAAGTCAGAAAATAGCGAGCTCCCATTGAAGCTTTGATTGACCGAAACCACAATAGTCAGCTTCAACCAGTACGTCGATCAATTGAACCTTCTGGGCAAATTGCTCGAAGGCCATTGGAACAAGTTCACTCAATCGAAATTGGATTCACATGATTGATTAGGGCAGAATTTGTTTGGAAACTCGCTAAAAAATTAAGCAAACCATGCAAGTTTAGCAAGAAAATTCAGCCGACTTTCCAAGCTACTCCAGATATGCATGTCAATCAAGAACTTCTGGGGGGTTAAGGATGGGTCGTACAGATTACAGCCACCACTTGTTTGGGCAGATCCAAGCTTGCCAGGTTGTTAAGAGAAAATAGTATTGAATTAAAAAAAGGTGGTCACAGAGTATGTCAAAGAATGTGGTTCCAGAAATAATGTTCATTTTTCTCATTTGTATTGGGTGAAGAGGAAATCAATGTGTTCAAATGCACGTAAATTACATGTCAGATGCCTACTGTTCATTGGAGGCCAAACTCTCGATATGTTTCTTTCTTGCAGGAGACAAAGCAATGTGCTATGAGAAAGATAACTCGAGAACTTCAGCTTACACTTTCAAAATTTGATGGATGTCACACACATACACAATTCTTTAACTAAAAGTTGCTAACATTCCCTAGATTTTTTTTCCCTTAATGTGTTATTTTATTCTTACAAACATTCCCTAGTTTAGGTTTACAACCGCCTTCAATGCTTAACAAATTACATTATAAATCAATTGTAAGAACCACTGATTTTTTTCATAAGCATAAGAAAACCTTTAATCAAAAGTCAGAATCAAACCTCCAATCTCACTCCTCTTTGATGTTATATCAACACTTAACCACTATGCTACAATGACTTTATTCTTTCACAAAAAAACGCTTGAGCCAGCTAAACCAAGTCAAACGCGAAACAGATATTATGATGAACTGAACCTAAGCTACAGTGGAATTCAATCCTTCAATTTCTATTAGAAGCAAAAGAAAGGTAACGTGTAAAAGATGAGCATTTCTTCCAAAGCAGATAATAATGGACCCTAACCCAAACAAACAAGAAACGGAACTGAAACAACACAATGAAGAAAAAGAAAGCAAATGAACAAAATCTTGTTGCTCCATGCTTTAGCCCAAAACTCAGCCCAAAGTAGGCTAAACATTACATTCATATATATCAGGCACCTTGATTAGAAAATGAGAAGACTCTTCCTGTGGACCCCAACGTAAAGCTGAACTTTGCATCCGTGTATATCTGACCCGTGATTAAGAAGATTGGAAGGTGATTTCCATCAACTAGGGCCGAAGTTTCAACTTCTAGAAGGCCCAAAATCTAGCAAAGAACTAATCATGGACACTCCCTATCTTTAAATCTCTCAACTCCCGCTACAATGCAATAGTTCAAGCCATGAACAAAGGACTAAACACACTGCATTGCAATGAAAGGCATAGGCCCCGTTTGGGAAGCATCCTAAGACCTCAAAAAGTCCTTCAAAGCTTCAAAAGTCCTTTACAAAATTGTGACATTTGGTACAGATATGTGAAGACCTTTTCAAGAAGCCGATGGTCAAGAAGTCCGTTTCAAAGACGTAAAAAATATGTTGCTTTTAAAACCTCCTTTAGGAAGCCATATTTTCTTTTTAAGTAAGTTTGTTGTTTTACTATTGTCTCCATGTACTATTCCTAGATTGACAAGATTGTCCTATATTCCCTCTTGATCCTTTGTTCCTCCCCCACCACACTCTCTATTGGAGGTTTGCAATAGTTGTCAAGAATAAGGGATAACATTCTCAAGAAAAAATATTTTAAAAGTTAAGAGTGCATCTAAGAAATGCACTAGCCAAACATCTTTTTTCTCCTGAATTCCTTTTGCCATATCAATAAAGGAATTTTAGGAAGCTCTCCCAAACGGGGCCTTAAAAAGAAACAGGCTACGTAGATGCTATGAACCTTTAAAATACTAATAATATCACCCCCCCAGGTGACGGTACACCAATTAAAGTCAAATTTTAACACTCCCATCAAAGTATGCATTTATCTGGAGGAGTCACCAGCCTTCTAATTCCAATTTAATGAAACAAGAACGCCAAACCTTGGTAATGAAGGCCAAAAAGATAAATTTTACTATCATCCATTTGTAAATAGTACTAGGGTCCAGCCATCCGCACTTTGAAATCAACAATACATCACTACAATTATTAACCCCTCCATATCAACCTACACAATTCACCTCCGAAGACAAGTAAAGGTCATTACTATTGTTGGCCCACCTATATGGGCACCAAGATGAATGACTGCCCAAACCTAACTTCTGGCTTACTTTGCACAAAGTAGATTTTTTAAAATGAAAGAGAAGTCCATCAAGTCTTGTAAAATGAAAGAGAAGCAATTAGTCACTCCAAATAACACCACCCACATAAAAGAGTTGCCACCAAAAAAATGGAGACACCACAATCAGGATTTATTTCCCTTCGCAAGGAGGATTGAAATGATAGACAAATTGAGTGTCCTTCCTATAAAGTGAACATATTTCTAATAGGAAGCTTTGCGAGGCTCCTTGTTTGAGGCAGGTCAAAGACGTTCACCTTTCCCTGATCCACTGTCCAAAGACTAGAAAACAAGATTTTTAATCTTTAAATCCAAATTAATCAGAAAGGGGTCACTAAAAAGGTGGATTCTTTAATCAAAACTTGCAAACCTAGGCTCCTTCAACCCCAATTTCCTTCACAGATCTATTTCTTTACCAAGTAGTGGGGAAAACACTTCAATTCTCCAAAAATAGTTCTCTACATATAAATAAATGTTACATAGCAAATCTTTGTGCCATGCAATCCTATCATCACAAGTCAATGTCAAAGTCAGAACGGCCCAGCTCCCAAGATAAGGTTTCTAATGAATTCCCATAAAAAGCTTGATCAGAGTACAGACAGAAAATAAAGCAATTAAATCCCATGTAGGCACCTCATATCTAGCCAAATACCAAAACCAGTATCAGCATCCTTGAAAAATCATCATCATACTTGCCTTAATCCCATATGAATGGGGTCGAACACATAATTTCTCTCTCTCCAATCTTTTCTATTACATGCCATTTCCCGTACCATGTTTAACTTTCTAAAGTCATTTTTAATAACCTCGTCCCATGTTATTTTTTATTGCCCTCTCTCTCTGACCTTCTATAACATGACTTATTTATACGGAGAGGGCAGCTCAGGCATCATTCTTCATGAAAACATAGAAAGTCAAACTTGCAAACTTAATGCAACTTAGATTGAGAAAAGCACGATCTCTCCATGTTATATAACACAAGGCAAGACACCTGCAAGGAAAAATAATGTTTGCACAAAAAGAAAAGGAAAAAAAAAAAAAAGAAGAAGAAAAATAGGTGGTTAAATATGACATCAGCCTAAAAAAATGCCATAAAACATTATCCACATCTAGCAACAAAATAGCAATAAAAAGAACACTTTGTGGTCTGAAAAATACTGGATTATGCTCAAAGTCTAAAAAGAATGTAAAATCTCGTAAGTAGATGACAGTAATTAGAAGGGAAAGCAACCATAGAAAGAGAGCTACCTCAAGCCGGCGAACTTGCCCTACACTATCATCACTCTTTTGCTCAGCCAAAAATGGTTCTACACAAGTAGCAACCTTTTGCTTCTGATTCCCCTCACCAGAACCCAGAAGAGCATTGAGAATATGAATGAGACAGCATAAAATCCCAGAATCAAGGAGAGATTGTTTATCAATAGGCTGCAAAAGAAATCATTTATAGGTAAGGAAAAACAAGAGACAGTAATGTCTGGACAAGTAAATGTCTATGCACAACTCACAGAATAACACCACTAACTCACCTCACATGCTGAATGCCCAAATTTATATTTAAACAAAGTGCAATAGGTACCTTTGTCTTTCACAAGCATATATAAGCAAATTATTTTTAGCAACTTAAATGCATATAATGCCAACTAGATTTGGGAAAAGGAAAAAAAAAAAAAAAAAAGATAAGATAAAACAACTAAGATTGTTTCAGATTAAGACGTGATGATCCAGAACACAAACATAATATACAAGTACATTCAAACTAAAGAAGCTTACGACTATACCCCTGATACAAGGACTTCCACTGCATTTAACAAATTTGAACCAGGGCTGATGCCATCCTGCAGAGAAACACACATGTATAATAATACTCTATAATAAACATAATCAAGAACTTGCGTGACACTTTTAAAAAAAATAACTAATAAAATAATCACAGAGAAAAAATAATATTCAGATGAAAGCATATAGAATACAAACCTTTGTGACCTCTGAAAAAAAGCTTAACACTCTAACAACATCCAAAGATCTCGTTTTGCTGCTAATTTTCAACTTCTCAATATCTGTTACAAATGCCCTTCCCACAACAAAAGAGAATATATGTGTTTCAACTAACCTGTAAATTGAAAACAGTTCAATAGTTGGTCAACATATCTCACCATAAAACCAATACAAATAATTTTAGTAAGGAATATGTCAAATTCCTAAGTTAATAACCACAGCATACTACAAATACCATTCCCAATTTAGTTTGCACCGTCCAAGGCGAGGCTATAGTCCATAAAGAAAATACATTACAGAAGTCTCATTCGAATGACAAACATGTAGATCGCAGCAATTTACATTTAATTAATAAACAAAATTCCTATATAGAACCAAAGATAGAAGGTAACATTTTGTGATTGGATCCTTCACAAGATTTTTAATACAAGACATCTATAACTCTAGAATGCAGTCTGAGTAGCCGGAAGGAAAAAGAAAATCTATTGAAGAAGAAGAGGCTGCAAGAGAAAATTCAGTAAGCCAAGTGACAATGTCAACCAGAGCAAGTACCTGCAGAGATTTTACAGATTTTCAAGTAGAGAAATACTTTAAATAAAAAAATAATTTCAGAGCTAAACCCAGACACCTCCCCTTCCCAACCAGTCACGGGGAAAAAAAGTAGAGAAAGTAAGAAAAAAAGAATCCTAAATTTTGTGAGTAACCAACCAATTCCTTTTAGGAATTATGACTGAGAGTTGTCTTTGGAACAGTCACTGAAACAAATTGAATGAAATAATCACAAGTCAAATTTTCTCCCTTGCAGCTTTTTCAACCCATAAATTGGAAAATTTGTCACATTTAAATTTGAAAACACCAGCTTACTTTCCACAAATGGATGACCTAGTATCATCAGAATTCAGATACTTCATTTAGAATATTCTAAATTTGTATTCAATACAGGAGAAAGTACCATATATTTCTTCTGTAAATGATTTTAGTGATATTATACATTCCAAAGACTTCAAGTTCAAAACTAATTGTGAAGACATCAGGCTGAAAAGTGGGAGAATCTTAATAGTGACATAAACATATGGACGTCTTCAGGAGTGTTCACAACCTAAGAGAAAGAGATACACAAGTATCTTACTCCATATGACATGAAGCAGTGAGGAGTGGCAAAATTAAGGCATCTCCAAAGATTTGAAGAATACTGATGCATTTGAGAGAAGTGAAGAATGTAGAATACAAGCATGCCATGTGCTAATAAAGCAGTCTCTCGTGCATTGCTGTTGAATGAACAAGCTATAGGCCTAATTCCTCCACAGATAAGACAAATAATTCTTCACCAACGAAACCTAAGGAGCATTTTCATGCTTGAAGTAGGCATAACACGTTCCTTGTGAAAAGGGTCATAAAAATATTCTCGAGAAAATGGATAGAATTTCTTCTATCTTAGAGTGAGGAGCTTTATATTTGTAAAAAGTAATCATAGTAAAAGCCAAACTAGAGTTGATATCAATTAAAATTAATAGAGGGTTAGAGTTGATTATCATTATCACATTACTTTAAGTTAATAAAATCCATGATTATCTAATATTAGAGGGTCATTGTAGATGGATTAGCAGAAAGTTGTTGTCTTTTCTATTTCCAGCTTCATCAATTCAAATTTATAGGTGCATGATGGAATGCAAAAGTTTAACAGCGTTACTCGCACCAAGTGATTATGAAATAAAGAAAAAAAGAGATATCCACCACTTCATTCAAATTAACACTGCAAATATTCTTTTTGATAAGAGAACTGTAAATATAACATATCCTCACAATTAAGTAAATGCATAAAAATTCAAAATCAAGGCAACAGACTAGACAAAAGAAATTTTCTTCATACATGGTAATTAACTGAGCTACATTAGCATGCTGCTTCACTAATCTACAGAAAACATCTACAGTCATATTCAAGGCCGTTTCTTTCTCCTGCATGGACAAAAAGAAACCATCAGCCTCATTTTTTTCTTCGAATAAAGGAAAGAAAAAGATAAAATAGTTACGTTATAAATGATAGAACAGTGCAGCGAAGAGAAGAAAGGAGGGAAAAATAAAGAAAGAGAAACAAAAGAATTAAGCAATGACACTTATATTACAAGCTGTAACCTTTTCAGAACTTGAAGAACGAAATTCTTCCCAATATCTCTTGAAGTCCAATTCAAGTTCATGTTTGTCTCTGCTTTCAAAAAAAAAAAAAAAGAAAAACCATTTGAGTAAATCATGGCCATCTGAACAGAAGAATCAACGTTTTCAAGTATATGGTTAAAATAATCATGGCACGTCTAAACAAAAGAATCAACTTTTTCAAGTATATGGTTAAATTTTAGTGATCAAAATGATATTTTGCAAAGCCAAGATTCCACAAGAGACCATCACATGGCATCATTACCCCAAGCCATCGAAGCATTGCCTAAACTAATTGAAGCTATCCTTACTGGTATTGCATCATATGTGCTACAAAATCACCTCTAAGAAATGGTTTGACATTGTGATGAGAAAAAATGGTTCTCTCCCTGTAACACCTAATGATATCCAATGGAATAGGTAATGGATTCTATATTTTTGTATAAAAGAAAGCAAGTCATCCACCATCTCATATCCACCTAAATGACTTGACTCAGAATTATGATTACCGTAGGCATCCTTAAAAATAAAATTAGTTCTCACTATTGACCAATGACATAACTGCCACAGAAAAAGATGATCTTTTAACCGACAATCAAAGACAAATATGTTTTTGCCCCTTCATGGTGCCCCAAAAAAGCAAAAGCTTGGACATGCACTATTGTTATTGCAACAAAATTTAAGTGAACTACTACCAAAGCAATGACATGAAAACATCATTACAACTGGCCGTAAAACAGCACATGCAAGCAAAATGAGTCTCTCATAGTGAAAAGTAAACTATGTCAAGTCAAATAATCTAAATGACTGATTTCTCCTATTTTTATTAAATAAATATATCCATGAGGATTTATATATATGAACCGTGATAAGAATTGAATAATAAAAAGTTGTTCTAGATTGAGTTCTATTATCAATGTAACAATGGAGAGGTATTTTAGCAATTCCACTACAAAAAAAAATCTATTGGTGAAAATTGTTAATTAATAACCAAAGTATTCATATATATATATATATATATATATATATTGAAAGAATCAAATGCTTTTGATCAACTAATTGCTACAGAAAGAATACTTACGGCATCCATAAACTAGATATAAACTCAACATGCCTTTCATATTCAAACTACTTGAGCAGGGCCAAATGAATCCATTTCCACCGTTCAACTCCACTTAATGGCATGTCTTTTGATAAATTGCATGTCCCCTCATAAATTTTTTATTTACTATGTAGCAAACCCACCTTAAACTACACACCACTACTCAAAGAAGCAATCCTTGATCTTCCCTGAACATTAAAAATATCTTCATCCCCTCTTCAAATCTTGCCTACAACTGGTAGCATCTCTAGCGTTGACAATCAGCCCCTTTAGGTGTATGGAAAATGAGAAGAAAGGCGCACATATCTGTGGCCTCATTGGCGGATCCCACCGCAGGTGTCACATAATTGAGGACTATTTTTTGGACAGTTTTTTGTTAAATCCATGTGATTTTAACCCCTTTTTAAGTGGAAAATTATATTTTAGTAATTTTGTAATTTTACAGACACAGTGTGTTTTGGCAACTATATTATATTTTTTGGTTTCTTGGTTAATAAGGCGCTTGATTATGTTTTCTGTCAAGTTTTTATAGTTTAGAATTATTTGAGTCTCTATTAGTTTAAGAATATTTACTTACTATGGTTTCTAATTTTTAAAATGTTCTACATCCTTCAACATGCTTGCATGAAGCAAGTCCTACTTTTGCTAGTTTTGTATACAACCAAGTGTTGTAAAAATAATTCAACAAGATTGATTAATAAAAAACTTTCTGCAAAATTTTTTGTACATTTTGATGGCAAGACTCCACTTTTCTGAGAAAAAATAAATTTGTCTTCTCTTTCTTTCTTATTTATTATTTGTTTTTCAATTCTGAAACTGCCATGCACAAATAGCACACACAACCAACCTCCAATAAAACTATCTTCATTCTCAAAATGCCAGACCTTCACTTTAATCAAAAACCCTAGCTTTAGTTTACGTGCACAAGGCCAAAAATTCTGACAAGCTTTATTTTCTAAATCCCAACAAAAATAGCCTTAAAACTTAACAAATCTACCCTTTATTTATCTCCAAACCTCAATCATATTTCCACGATCATATACCCTAGAAACTATCACCTTCAACTACCATTATTTGATGGTGGGCACACATGATTCCCTCACTAAAGGTTCCAACTTCCATCTACATCTTTCTAGCTTCAAGGATGCTTTTATTTCTCCATTTACCTTTTACTTGTATTGCCACTCACCAGTCTCGACATCCTCACTTTGAGATGCTCATTTCATGAACGTGTTTCGTGCTTACTCAATTTCTCGTGCCATAAAACATAATTAGTTCTGCAAAGTCTATCAAACAAACTCATCTAATTATATACGTTCTCAATAGATTCTGTTATCACCACTCCAATACCTATTCTAATACAAAATAAAGCAAATTATCACTTTTAGACACCTATGAGCATCAATATTAATCACTCTAAACTACTAAAGTTTTACATACGGGAAGCACCACTTGCCCTGAAATTGTATTCTCGCCGTACTCTTAGTCAAGAATCACCCACTCTAATTGATCAACTCATTCTATCGCCAACAAATCAGACGTGTCCCACTAGAAAGAAAGAAAAAATAAAAATAAAAAAAGCAACAACAACAACAAAAACAAAACTAGACAGTTCAATCAAAATGAATTCTCATGGCTAAAAATTCACGCGTTCTCCTCCTATTGCTCTTACATTAATTACCGAACCATATCACATGCTCCCGATGACAATGATTAATACCTCATAAGTAGAGTACCAAGACATCTCATTGGCAATTACATCCCTGCAAATCCTAACCGTAAATGCCACGTGACAGAGATGTGTGTAAGTGTACAGCAACATGTTAATATGACATCTGAATCAAAACATACTGATTAATGATTTAACTGGTATTTAAATCCATTATGACAGAGCATTGAGCAATAACAGAAAGACGAGAACCGCCAGAGACAACCTAAAAACTACTGAGACATTAGAACCCATTAAAAAGCAATTGCAAGTGTGAATATAAAGCATCGAATGCACATGATTATGATTATAAGGGTAAATCCATCCTTTGTCACATCCATGATGTGAGAAACAAGTGCAAGTAAGAACTGGTTAAACAAACTGATCATCGCACATAAGCAAGCAGCACACTGGCCTGCACAATAGATCAGCTCAACCGGGGAACCTCTTATGTTTGAAGCAAAGATCTAGTTCTAGAATCTAGTTGTCACCTGCCAATACCCAGCAGCTGTCAAACAGTTCAGAACTGTGTTCTGTTCAACAACATGATCCATATATCTCTTCCACGCATAATCAGAAAATAATAACAAATAAGCAGACCAAAAACTACATAAGCATCACCCACCACTCATAATTATACAAAACTCGATGCAGATCATTTGAGACAAAGCCAAGCTACATTAAACCCATAAAATCCCAATAACAAAGCAGAATAAACATAGTGTAGCATAAAATGTGTGCACAGCAAAACATCATCGTAAACATTAACCATATTGCTAAGAGAAAATCGGAAGAAAAGCAGAACCTTGAAGGCGATGAGGAGCCGAAATCTTGCTTGGATAAGGAGGCATTGTAATCTCGAAAGGCCGAGGAGACAGATGATGAAGAAGAAGAAGAAGATGCGGTAGACGGAGACTGAGATAGACCGACCTTTTCTTTGAAGTCTTTAAGCAATGATACCCATTTCATCGTTTTCCCAGGAGATTTTTGAAACATGTGCCTTTCTCATCCGACGATTGTTCGCTCCGGGCGATAAATCTCCGGCAGATCCAAACCTTTCTAGGGCAATCTAGTGGGATCTCCGAGCTCAATACCCCCAAAAAATCCCAAATTCTATCCACCAAAAAAAATGAAGAAAATTCAAAAAATTGACCAAGAAATAAAATCGAGAAATTGTGCTCGAAGCTGCTGATGAACAAATCGGTGGATTGAACTGATCAAATTGGAGTCAATTGATTACAGATAGAAGCAAGATCTGATTATACAAATTTGAAAAAAAGATAATGTCTCCGAAATTTTTTGTGATCTGTCTTTTGCCGCTCTGTGTATTTTCCTAAATTGATTTTTTTTTCCTTTTTTTTTTTTTTTGAATTTTTTTTTTTGCCCTAAAAAGAGGAGCGTTTGACGAAACGCGACTTCGTTTGGAAAGAAAGGAAGCGAAATATGGAAGAATAGCAAGCAGCTCGCTCTCTCTCTCTCTCTCTCTCCTCTGTCTCGCTTTCTCTCTCTGCCTGTTTCGGACGGCCTCTCCGCGCCTTGTTTCTCGCTCTATATCTGTTCACTTTTCTCTCTCTAAAACTCTCTAAACTCTCTCTCTCTCTCTCTCTCTCTCTCTCGTCTCTCTCTATTTCTCTCGGAGCAACTCACTAATTTTCCACGTCAGCGTGGGATCCACGTCTCTCAGGCGTCCACGTGGCATCTCGTGATCGTCGAACAAGACGTGGAGAAGTTCTCTCTTGTTTTTTTTTTTTCCCCACTTTTGTTTTAAAGGGAGAAAAAATAATAATAAATAAAAGAAGGATCACTGTGATTTCGCTTTAAAAATTTTCAGGAGCCGTTTGGCAATCTCTCTCCTGCTGTAATATCCAGATTTAATTACTGAAGTAACCTTTACTTACTCCTTAATAACAGTGAGATATTATGTAGCTTTCTTTAAAGTTGTTGCATTTAAGAAATCCTCTGACTTGTTGTTTGAAGCATTAATTTGAATGGGGTAAAAGCAAAAGCTACGTTTGTGTGGAAATACAAAAGGATTAAAAAAAAACAGAGAGAGAGAAATATAACAACAAATATAAAAAGACAAACTAAAAAAAATAGCTCAGTCAGATAGGTTCAGATGTACACTATCACATGAAAATTTTGTTTAACCGAAATAAGTAGTCAAACTAATACTAAAGTGCTAAACCAAATTTTATTCGATCTTTAATAATGGATTTTTTTCTTTTATATGCTGTGTTCGAAGGAAGGAAAAAAGATATGTGAAGAGAAATAGGAAAGATGGATAGAGATGATATAAAGAAATAAAAGAAAATGGGAAGGATGACTGGAAAGAAGATGTGTGAAGAAAAAATAAGAATGGTTTCTTTGTTCAATAGAGATGATATAAAGAAGAAATAAAAATAGGAAGAATGACTCGTCCTTCCTCTTTTACAAATTTTTATTAGCCCAAAAAGGACGTAAGAAAGGACAAAAGAGAGTTGCACTATTATAGAAGTTTTAAATTAAATGCTATCATAAATTATACAAGTTTTAAATTACAGTAATATCTTTTATAAATTACAATATTATAAATATTATTAGATATAATGGTAAAAATAATTAAAATTTTCTATTTCCTTATCTCAGACAAAAATAGTAAATTATGAGTTTATTCTATTTTATTCTATCCAACCAAACAAAAAGAAAGAAATACATAATCTCTTCCCGCATCCCTTTTCCTCTCATCTTCCTTCCATCCAATTTTTTTTCTTTCCTACCAAACGGAGCAAATAGTGGTGTTGGGCAAGTTAATTTTTGTTTGGGTAAATTTCAATTAACTTTTCCGAAGTTTGTCAATACTTCACATAAACCTCTTTACGTTTCATAATTTCACTTATCTCTTTTACGGTTTTAGTTTTTATTTTTAACAAACATTCAAGGCTTTACTTTATGTAATGAATTTTTTCATACCGGTAGGCATCTGACGAAGACAAACAAAATTGCTGATGTTAGTTGCAAAAATTAGATAGAATGTCAGTTTTGTCATTTTAATGTCTAAAATGACACCAAATATTTTATGGGCAAAGAAGTAAAATACCACGTTATAGTTACCAAGGTATAGGACCGGAGGTATGTGTAAGTCAGTGAGGGAATTTTTCTTTTCTTTTTTAGTGATATACCCTACTATTTTAGTTATTTTGATATAGATATATATAAATTACACTATTGCCCCCACTAAAATTACACTATTGCCCCCCTCACACAATTTTTTTACTCCGTTCCTGCCGAGGTAAGTGGAATTATGAAACCTAAAGGTATCTATGTGAGATATCAATAAACCTCAGGGAAAGTAAGTAAAACTTGCCTTTTATTTTTATATTTTAGTGGATTTTTTATTATTTTTTAATTATCTCCAAAGCATGCCTTTCTAAAGCAGCATCTTGAAGTTATAAATGTCCAATTCAATTGAATGACAACTAAGTAGATGAAGACACTTGGTTAAAAAACTTAAAGTCATTTACTCCCCCCTTAACACAAAAAGTATCCACATTTTATTTTTTCTTTTTCTTTTTATTTTATTTTTTTATCTCAAAATAATTATCCCAATTCAAAATTCAATGTACTCTTTTTTAATATTCTGAATTTACTCTTCTTGTATTGAAGTTATAAAAGCAATTAAAATCATATGGACCCACCATATAGAAGGATATATTTGAAAATTTATTCCCTACCACTATAATAATAAATAATAAAAAACACTAAAAACTACATTTTTTGTGGGACAAATGGAATACAATTTTACACTCGAGATAAGCTTGATCTCGTTCTCTTATTTGAGAAACATGTAAAAAATTTAATGGAACATGCACTTATGGTGCTTTAGTTCAAAAAAATAATGGATACGTGTGCAAAGTGTATCAAAGGTGAACTTAGAGCCTATTTGGCAACCGTTTCTAGCTTTGAAAAAAGGCCCTAAGGTGGACTTATGGCCTGTTTAATGGTGCTTTGTTTTTTGCTTCGAAAAGAATACTCTAACGAGGTAAAACATGGAAGCGTGTTTGGTAACGTTTGCTGCGATTTAAATAATACCGAAACATTCAGAAAAAAATGCCAAAATTGGAAGTACCAAATTAGTATTTCTGGTTACTTCCACATTGTAACAATGAACAGTTTAAATTTTTTTTTCCTTAAATAGCCTTTTTAACTAGTCATTTTATTTTTCAAACCAACAATGCCATTTTATCCAACAAATTTTCACCTTTTTGCTTTTAAAAATCTTACAACAAAAATAACGGTTGGCTTCCAAATATTAAACATATTTCAAAGCAAAACTATTACTTTTGTTTCGAGTCAAAACAAAAGCACAAAACAAAACGATTGCCAAACAAATCTTTAATTACTTGATGTCGGTGGTTTGAATATAATTATTACAAGTATTTGGAGAGAGAAACATAGAGGACCATCATATTCCACAATTTGGATTCAAAATATCTACATTGGGGTATGCATTTCTTACAAGATGCCGTTTTTCTATGATATTGTATTTGTACTTATTTTTATGGATATGAGTTTTAATACTTTAACAGTTTGCTTGCTTATTATTGTTGATTATGTAGTAGTTATGATCCATTTGATAATATAAAATAACAAAATAAAGAAGAAAACAGGAAGAATGACATTCCCTCTAAGCCCATAATTTTTTTTTTTTTTTTTTTTAAACTCAATAAAGATAGCTCAAAAATTGGTTTATATTTGTCATCCCCTCTAAGCCCACAATTTTTTTGTTGTTTTTATTTATTTATATTTTTAACTCGATAAAAATAGCCCATAATTTTGTTTATATTTGTTGTTTTTCTCATTCATACATCTGTGTATGCCTGTGTGATATGAAGGTTATAATGAAAATGATCAAACACTAATCTCCGTACTTTCTCTGGGTAAAGGGTATAAAACACCCTTAAAGTCTACTCCGTGTAACACTTTCACCGTTTATTTTAAAAAGTATGTTATTAACCTTTTCATTCTTTAAAAATTTAGCGAAAACATCTCTCAAATTACTTTTTTTTTAGAGATTTGATATAAAGCAATGTTGTAATGCATGTTTTGCTCTATTACTCTACCAAAAATGTCCAAGGTGTGTGTATGCTAATAATCTCATGATAAAGGGATATTATGTGTACATTAACTATATTTAATCTACTCTTAAGGATTTTTTCTCACCTTTCAACAATATATATATATATATATATTTCCCCTAACAGTGTATTAACTTTCTATATTATCACTCTTATTAAAACTTTCTGTGTTTTAAGTATTAAAAATTAAATTAAATATACTTATTCGTTATATATATATATATATATATATATATATATATATATATATAATATACATTTATTTTTTAAAACTTTAAAAGTTGTAATAAATGTTCACACACACACACATATAGAATTTATTTACATAGAAACCAATGGATGTTCAATCTTTACTATAAAAATAAAAATAAATAAAACCCTGCATCACTGTCTTCTTATAAATAAATGGGTGTTCAAACTCTACCGAATGGGTATTTAATTACCCCACCTTAGGGGTATTTTTCACACTTTACCCTATTTTAGGAGTGTTGTCCTTTTTTTTTCACTTCACAGAATGTGTAAATTGTCACCATAAGAAATAACTTGGACAAAGTCCATCTTAAATGTGTGAGGTGAGACTTATTTGTACAAATTGATAATTTAAGAGTGTTTTTCGCATATAAATAGTGTGATACGTACTGTAAGCGTACTATTATAGAGGTGTTTTTTGTATTTTATGATGTTTTTCTTTATTAATTTTTGTTACTCTCTTTTTACTTTTTATTCCGTCTAATTTGTCATCATTGGAACTAATATTACAATCGAAACGTGTGATATACACTGTAAATATACTATATGGTGATATGCATTGTAAACACTGTTGTAAATGAAATAATACAACAATGTTTTATGCAATGCTATCTACTAATAGGCATGTATGCCAATAATCATATTTGCTTATAATCTGGAGGGGGTTGGGTGTCATAAAATTCAGAGAAATAGTATGAGAATTAAAACTTTATTCGATACTTTCATGGATGGTGTTACATTCAATTTATAGAATATGATTTAGTTAAAATAGGTAATTAATTACCTACCAATTAGTCCTAAATCAAGGAGTAAATAATTCAATCATACAGCTGTACTAAAAGAGATAAAATCTCAATACTCCCCCTCAAGTTGGTGCATAGATGTCACACATACCCAACTTGTCTAAAAATTTTGAAAACACTTGATTTGAGACTGCTTTGGTGAGAATGTCAGCTAGTTGATCCTCAAATCGAATCTTAGGCAACTCCACAATTTTTTCATCAAACATCTCCTTAATGAAGAATTTGTCTATTTCGACATACTTCGTACGATTATGTTGAACTGGATTATGGGCGATATCACATGCTGCTTTATTGTCACAATATAGTCGAATAGGTTGCCCAAGTTTTTAACCCAAATCCTGCAAGAGAAGTCTTAACCACAATGTTTCACAAAGTGCAAGCGCCATACCTCTGAATTCAGCTTCTGCACTCGAGCGAGCAACAACATTTTGTTTCTTGCTTCTTTATGTAAGAAGATTACCTTCTATAAAAGTAAAGTAACCAAAAGTAGATCGCCTATCATCTATACCTCCAACCCAGTTAGCATCAGTATATGCATCTATGTTTTGACAACTAGCAT